GTACATCTGAAGGAAAGTGAAGTGTCAGTGGTGCAATCCTTGAGTTCAATTAAGCATAGAACAGGAAAACGCGGGATTATCAAAATTTTATTGTCCATAAAAAGTAGGTAGAAGAGGTGTGAGATAAAAGTCATAGCAGATTTTCAATGGAACATATTTACAAACAATGTTAGCAAAGAATGCAGAACGTGGAGGGTCCTCCAAAACAGAGGGAAACAAAAGGGTGGCTTGTGCGACACAATATGGTCCAAAGACATTCACCAGACCCTTTAAAAAGCTTCGTTTTATTGATGTGAAGCTGGAGGCGCAATTGGGGAATCATGGCCACCGGCCTCTTACGCAGTTCGTGCATCAAGCCATCACGAAGGCCCAAATGGACATAAATCCCATTAATTAGGGGCTTCGTCATACAAGATCGAGGTCTTGCGAAAATCGTCCGCGGATTCTGCGGTACTTGCGGGATGGTCGACCCCTCGAAGGCACGCACTGCATTGAACAGGCCCCTCATATTAGCAAGGGGCAATGACCAACGAGTGCAAAAAGCTCCCTGCCAGCACTTGGCCCCGGACTGGGTGACGAGGGAATCCGGAGTTGATGGTTTAGGCGTATGTATTATTCCGGAAACCTAAAAATCCAGAATGCTGTAAACGGACCTAAAAGGCAATCTAACAACTTTTTGAAGGTTTCCGCATAAATTAAATTGTGTAGTAATTCTTACGTACACAATACGTGCATGAATAATATTTTCGGCAATAAAATTACGTGACTCACTTGGCAGTCAATGGCCTGCTTCTAGTCCTGAGTTGTGACTGGCATGCTTACAACATGATCTAACTTACCTCGGTATCTCGTGTGCCTCAGCCGTGGTACGTAAAATGTTGTCTTTTTTCACTTCTTATAATATTTGCGTTAATTTTCCTGCGTTGGGTTAAGTATGTGAGAATATGCTGAAAGGCCGAAGTGTCCGAGTTGAATTTCTTTTCGCCCAGCAGACTTCATATGAAATGTTCACAAATAGCTGTAGTATGTTGTTTAATATCTTTTCTAAGTAAATATGGAGCACTCTTACTACGGATTCCACCGAAACAGCACATACGACAGAATAAAGAGGCGCAGCTTGGCATATGCCAAGGCTGCTGGGAAGGAAATGTGTGCAGGTCCATACATGTCGTCCGCTGCTGCCGAAACCCTGAAAATCCTTCCGGTAAGAATTTTGGATGTCTTAGATAATACTAGATATAATGTCAGCGGCACAGCACCATCCCACGTAAAGGCTCAATTCTTGAGGCTTTTTAAGGTTTCTGCCTACGTAGTGCGTTGCCCTGTGCCGCTATTAGAGACCTGTTTGATAAGTTACGACCCTTAAACCCCGAATTACCGAAGGATACGAGGACCTTTTTATGCATGCCACGAGCGTTACCTTTTTAAATGGTGGCTTCTCCCCTCTGGGTTACAGGCATCTCGTATGCCTAGATGTCACAAGCAGACCACTGCATACATGGCATTGGAAACGCAGCTTACGTGATGAACTTAACACGTCTATCGATGCCTACAGCTGGCGCAGCTCCCTGGAGTACTTAGAGTACTGGAAGGCTGCTGAATACCGTCAATGTTTGTTGTATATTGGCCTCGCTGCCTCATCCTGATTCTAAGTTCTGATCAGAATAATCCCTTTACGCTTTTATCCATTGCTCTTTACAC